CGCAGTGATCGTTCCGAGTGAGTCCTGCCAGTGTGATCCAGGTAGAGAAGTCGGCCAAGCGAACACCTCAGTCCACCCAGACTGGGCAGTACGGGAACAGGTTAAAATCAGGCTCAATGCGCATTGGAAAGGATTTTATCCTCTTCACCAAGGAGGGAGACACCATGACCTGCCTCTCCCTGTCTTGCACCTTTCATGAGGAAGAAGACATTGATGAAGTGATAGTCCCACTGCCCACCTGGAACGCTCAGACGCAGGACCCTGTCACAGACAACGTGGAGAAGCTTGCCATGGAGACAGAACTCATCGACAAGTACTTCCCCTTTCACAGTGAGGACAAAGTGATGACCTAGTTCATGAAGATTCCTGGGGACAGTGGGACACTGGTGATCATCTTCAATCTCAAACTCATGGGTAATGGAGAGCCAGAACTAGACATATTCTCAAATCCAAGAGATATCCAGATGGCAGAGACCCCCCCAGGAGAGCATGAAGCCGGAGCGGAGCTCATTCTGGGCCTATGCTGCAGTGCTCTACACATAATAGTTACATTGCTGGAGTCCCACATAGTTGAATGCAGTTTGAGTCCCAAACCTGGCAGCTTAAAATTTATGCTAGGTGTGTGTGCATGCATGCCCAAGATCCTGAAAGGAGAATGGAGGAGAAGGGACTGTTGTATGGCTATTCCCCCTGGGGGTGATTTCTTGCTTTCTGTCTCTGTCTCTCCAGTGAGCACGCACACCTTATAGGAAAAATCTCTCTTAAAACAAACAAACAAACAAACAAACAAAAAAAACCCTTCACATGAAAAGAAACAAGAGTAAAAAGGCAACCTATGGAATGGAAGAATCATATATCTTATAAGGTGTTAATATCCAGATTTATAAGAAACTTCACTCAAAAAAAAAATACAGAAAATAAACCAACCAAAAAAACAGGAGGCAAAGGACTTAAATAGACAATTATCTTTTTTTTGGAGAGATTTTCACTATAGGGCGCGTGCGTTCACCAGACAGACAGAGAGAGACATAGAGACAGAAAGCAAGAAATCACCCCCCAGAGGGGATGGTCACGCCACAATCCCTTCTCCTCCATTCTCCTCTCAGGATCTTAGGCATGCATGCACACGCTCCTTGCGTGAGTTTTAAGCCACCGGGTCCGGGACACAAACCGCAGTCAACTATGTGTGAGTCCAGCGACATAGCCATTATGCAAACTGCTGGTTCCCAATAGACAATTATCTAAGTAAGATATACATATGGCCAAACAAATTTATGAAAAGGTGCTCAACATTACTAATCATAAGACCAAATCAAAGTTACTACAATAACTTATCATTTCATATTCAGTAGGATGATCAATAAAATAATAGAAAATAATAAATGTTGGCAAAGACTCAGAGAAACTGAAACCTTTCTGAGCTATTGGTGGGAATGTAAAATAATGCAGCCACTATGGAAAACAGTATGAAGGTTACACAAAAAATTAAGAATAAGACTACCATATGATCCAGCAATCCCAATCCTGGGTATACGAAAGGACTTCAAAGCTTTGTGGAAAATGGAATTAAAGTAAGAGTTTACTTTGGTGTAAAAAAATATCCACCTATGGTTTTTATAATATGCATTTCCATTAATTTAAAAAGACACTGTGTATGTAGAAAATAACTCAGAATACCATCTTGAAGAGATATTTGCAAACTCATATTCACCACAGCATTATACACAAAGAGCCAAGAGGTAAAAGTAACTCAAATGTCCACTGACAAATGAATAAAGAAAATTTGGTATTTCTACAAGGAAATCTTATGCATCTATAAAAAGAAGGAAATTCTGCCAACTGTGACAACATGGATGAACCTGGATGACAATATAAGTGAAGCCAGACACAGAAAGACAAATACTGCATGATCTCACTTGCATGTGAAATCTAAAAAGTTGAACTCAAAGAAACAAAGTAGAAAAGAGGTTGCCAAGGGTGAGAAGAGGGAATTAGTGTTTATAGGTAGAGAGTTCAGTTCTTCAAGATGAAAAAGTTCTAGAGATCTGTTGCAGAATGTGTAAATACACTTCAACACTATACACTGTACACTTAAAAATGGTAGAGATGACCAATGTCATGTATTTTTTGGTACAATAAAAAAAGTACAGAAAACACTATAATTAACAGGTGTATAATCACAGTAAGTTAAAAAACTACCATTTTGCATCATAATTTTTTAATTTTTAGAAATAAAACCTTAAAAATGAAAATCCAAAAACTTGGATTTGTCTTATATAACAAACAGCATATGCTATACTTTCCTTCAATATCCTAAATTAACAACCCACTGGGAATAATTGTACTATATTTTCATTCAGTACCCTAAACTAGTCACCCACTGGGGATAATTATATACGAAAAAATTCCACTTTGTTTTTCTGAAATTTTACTTTGTGCTTGGAATATCTGCAATATGTCGACTTACCACTCTAAATGACAGAAGTGGAAAGAATAATGGCAAACATCAATTGTGGACAGTTAACATCATAGTTACTAATAACTGTGAATATTTGGAATGCAGAATAATTAAAATAAGGCTTTTGTTGTAACTGTAAGAAAGAAAATCTAAACATTTATTTCCTTATTATAGCTAGCTGGCTAACAACAGCAAAAAATGATTCTCTTTACCTAGTACTTCTTTTTGTAAATCTTGGCATCTAATTTGCAAGTTTACTTCTTGTTGTTTGGATGTCTGAATCTGCTGAGACCGCAATATAGCTGCATCTGACAATAATTTCAGATTTTTCATTTCCTCTTCAAGGCATACCTTACTTCTGTGGGATACTGCCAAACTTTTATTCAGTATGTCTATTTCTGTAAAGAAAATTTAAAGTGTATAAATAGGCAACATTGAATCATAAAATATTTCTACAAAAACTAATTAGTATTTTTAGAAAATTGATAACTAAAAGCCAGGATGACTTTTCTCAGAGTGTAATGACATCTAATAAAAAGGTCAAATTTAAATTCAACAGTGATTCTGAAAAAGGTATGAGAAAATGAGTTGCATTGCTAAATGATACATGAAACCTGTTAGTAGTTTGTGTGTGTGTGTGTGGTGTGTGTGTCTGCACGCGCGTGCGGGTGTATTTGCCTCTAAATTATATTAAATGGAAAGCAATCTGCTTTTCTTTTGTGTAATGTTCTGGGTTTTATTGAAATTACATTGTTTTCTTGGCAATATAATTCAGAAAGGCAAATATAAACGTGCTAGCATGAGCTGGTTGGGTAGCATCTGTCAGGGAGTAACTAGGAGACATTCTCTACAAATCATGAAGAAAGGTGATAGAGGTGGAGAGGACAAGAAGGATGCACTGTCTAAACCTAACATATTTATGAGCAGAATATATGAGCTAACATATAGTAATGATTCTAGTAATACTCTGTCCCCCCAAGAATGAGATGAGAATTCATCATAGCAATTACTTGTCATTATTCTAACTACTTAGATTAAGTTTAATAAAACTATGCCTTCACAGGTCTACATAGATTTACATGTGCTAATTTCATATAATTCTGTGAGAAGTGCATGGAGCATATCTTTCAGAATGATAATTATCAAGCTTCCCTTCATCAGTCTTTATAGCACTACAGCCTTAAACCACCATCAAAATATATGAACACACACAATAATGATGAAATATTTAACTATAAAATTTGTATCACCACAACTAACTGAATTGATGAGAATATGCTGTACATAAAAATCTGGACAGCCTGCTTTACCAGGAAATTCACTTGCATTGCCTTCTTTGGCTAGTCCATACTGGGCTATATAATAGTTTAGTGTGATTGAATATCAAAGAGGCTGGCTTGGTTTATTGCTCTTGGGTCAGTGAAGACTAGAAGCAGGGCTATATAGGACAGACAGTTACAGAACCAAAGCAATGAACTAGAACAGAGGACACAAGAGAGCATGTCTTTTTTTTTGGGGGGGGGAGGTTTTCCACTATAGGGCGCGTGTGCTTGCCAGACAGAGAGAGACATAGAGACAGAAAGCGAGAAATCACCCCCCAGAGGGGATGGTCATGCCACAATCCCTTCTCCTCCACTCTCCCCTCGGGATCTTGGGCACGCATGCACACGGCGTGAGTTCTAAGCCACCAGGTCTGGGACGCGAACCGCGGTAGACTATGTGGGAGTCCGGCGACATACCCATTACACTAACTGCTGGTTCCCAAGAGAGCATGTCTTAAGGGATGGTGACATGGTCCAACGAGAGAAAAGCAAAATGTTTTTCTATGGATGAAAAGTATATCAGGTAGAAAAGGTGGCATTTTTGACAGATCTGGAGTATGAGCACAAGGGTCTAGCACCTTCTTCACTTTTAGTTCCTGCTCAAAATGGAAAACCTGGATAAATAAACTGACAGAGACCAAATAAGTTGGTTTCTTCCTGAAAAACAATATAGTTAAAGCAAATAAGGTTACATTTTCTTTCATACAAAGTCTTTCTGGGTATTTTTGTAGCCATAAATGTGGCTGCTTAGGGATGAATAAACTATACTCTACCGTGACTGTATTCGCCTATATTTAAGTCAGAATGACACTGCAGAGTAGCACACACATGCTGTCACCTATTTATCGTTTGCCAAAGTGACACTGCTTAGATTAGCAGGCTGACTCTGTTAGTGTACACTTCTATCTGTCTCAAAAATAACTATTCATGTCAATGTGACTTTCTATCTGACATTAAAAGAATAAGAATCTGCAATACAAATTTATTTGTAAAATATATTCTAACACATGGAAAAGTACAGCAAGATTTCAAAATGGGAGCTACAACATTCCTAACAAGGAATTAGAAAAGTAAGCTCAATGGCAATGAATTAACTCAGCCTCACCAAATTTAACATTGTGATGATGGCAATCCTGGTGCCATAGATTTACTCCTACCTTTGCCATTATACAATTTCATACTTGTTGGTCATGAGTCCCAATTTTGGATTCAGAAATTATGAGTCCCACCAGGTCAACAATACTGGCCATTGTACTCAACTTGGCCCTTGTTTCAGCACCACCATGAGAAAGGTCCTCATCTTCATCCACTCAGTCTCAAAAACTCAAATACTAATTTTGGATGGAAATCTTTTCTGACCTGATCAGGATGTGACCTTGAAACATCTACAACCTTATCATCGAGGGAGTCTGATATTACATAGTGTGACCAATAATTATTCATATGACTTGATATAGTTTTAGTACAATAATAGGAAAAAACCCTCAGTGACTAGATATACTAAATGAAGGTATCAGAAAACACTGCATAGAGTTAAAACATTTTTTTCTATATTAGTATTTTGAAGAAGTAATATTAGATTTACAGAAAGTTGCAAAGAAATGTATAGAGAAGTCCTATTTTGCCTTAACCTCTCTTCTCCCCATATTGACATTTTGTATAACTGTAGCATACTAAAAACAAGAAATTAACATTGGTACAATCTACAAAATGTATTCATATTCTACCTGTTGTACAAGCACTCATTTGTGTGTATATGTGTGTGAAGTTCTATGCAATTTTATCACAAGTGTAGCTTCATATAACGACCACCAATCAAAATACAGAATTGTTCTATCACCACAAAGCTGACTCCTGCTTCCTCTTTATAGCCAAACCTACCACCATAGCTAACATCTCTAATCACTTACCTGTTTTCTACATCTATAATGTTGTTAGTTCACAAATGCTATATACATAGAATCAGATAATATGTGAACTCCTGAAATTGGTTTTTTACTCAGCTTAATTTCCTCAAAGTTCATTTAAATTGTAATATGTGCTAATAATCTGTTCCTTTTGGTTGATGAGTTGCATTGTATGATATATATGCCGCACAGCTTGCCCTTCATTCACTGAAAGACATCTCATCTGTTTCCAGCTTTTGGTTATTATGAATAAAGCTGCTATGAGTATTTACATTTAGTTTTTTTTCACGAACATAGGTTTTCATTTCTCTTGGATGGCCAAGAGTACAATTCCTGGGCATGTGGTAAGTGCATTGTTTGTTTTATGAGAAATTGCAAAATGACTTTCTAGACTGGCTATACCATTTAACATTCCTACCAGCAATGTTTAATTATCTGTTTCCCCTGATCTTCATCAACACTTGGTATGGTCAATGTTTTTCATTTTAAAGACTCTAATAGATGAGTAACAGTATTCCATTGTGATTTTATTTAGCATTGCTGATATCTAATGATGTTGAACATTTTTTCATGTACTTATTTGCCATCTGTATTTTCACTAGTGAAACTTCTCCTTTTACCCATGTCTAATTGCATTTTTTTAAATGTAGAATTTTGAGAGTTCTTTACATAGTCTACATAAAAGTCTTTTGTTGGACATGCATTTGCAAATATCTTCTTCTGGTCTGTAACTTGTCTTTTCATCCACTTAGTGGTGTCTTTCATATGATGAAAGTTCTTAATTTTGCTTAGGTACAATTTATCAGTTTTTTCTTTTAGGTATCATACTTTCAGTTCGAATCTAATAATTTTGCCTGACCTGAGGCTGCAAATATTTTTTTCCTAAAAGTTTTACAGTTTTACATTTAAGTTTATGATCCACTTAGAGGTTCCCCCACCCTTGGGCATCCTTGTCAAAAATCAATTGGGTGGGGCCGGCAAGTGGCATGGTGGTTAAAGGCGCTGGACTCCCACATGGCCGACCACGGTTCAAGTCTCGGACCTGGTGGTTTGCTTTCTCACTTCCTCTCTTTCTCTCTGTCCCTCTCTGATCAAATTGGAAAATAATAATGATAATAATAATAAATAAAGTTAAATAAAATAATTGTTAAAAAATCAATTGGGCATATATTTATGGGTGTAATTACATATTAGATTCTCAGAAAGTCATGACACATTTTTGCATAGAAAAACAGAAAAACACATCATGACTTTTCCAGCAGTCTAATATATTTAAAGCTATAATATAGTTTAAATATTAAATATTGTAGGTGAAAAATATAAGTTTTATTCCCTTATTTAGGAGCAATGCTACAAACACATTACGACAATCTTTTCTACAAAATAAATGAGATTTAACATGAGAGGAGAAATGAGAAATTTAGAATACAGGGAACCAGCAGTTAGCATAATGGCTATGTCGCTGGACTCCCACGTAGTCGACCGCGGTTCGTGTCCCGGACCCGGTGGCTTAAAACTCACGCCGGGCGCGTGTGCATGCGTGCCCAAGATCCCGAGAGGAGAATGGAGGAGAAGGGATTGCGGCGTGACCATCCCCTCTGGGGGGTGATTTCTCGCTTTCTGTCTCTATGTCTCTCTCTGTCTGTCTGGCGAGCGCATGTGCCCTACAGTGAAAATCTCTCCAAAAAAAAGAAATTTAGAATACAAAATGATAAAATAATAACAGTTCATTATCTTAATTCCTTACTGTGCTGAGCACTGTGGATGTGTGTGTGTGTGTGTGTGTGTGTGTGTGTGTCTGTGTATTTCCTCATACTACTGATGCAGATACTAAGGCATATAGTCACATGTAAGTGGCAGAGCCATGAGGTGAACTTTAGCTCTCTGACCACAGGGCCTTGCTCTTAGGATGCCTTTAATAAGTATTAAGAACTGAAGACCACAAAACAGGCCAGCACACCCTGACCCAGACATACTGCCTGTGTGGGCTTCACCAGACCTGGTGGTTGAGTCTGTAAAAGGGCAAAACTACCCAGGATCCCATATTCTCCTCTAGATTTTTCCTGATTTCCACCTCGAGTTCTATTAACACCATGACTGACTTTGAGTAGAGTTGTATAACACATTTAAGTAAAAGCTAAAGTAATCATATAACAAACTAGAAAGAAG